CATCCTCAATGAAAAAGGACTAAAATAATTTTCCTTGCAAACAGGGACCAGACAATGATGTCCACTGTCAACACTTCTATTCAATATTGTACTGGAAGTGCTTGCTAGGGCAACATGATAAGAGAATGAAATAAAAGGCATCCAGATCAGCAAAGAGATGGGTAAAATATCGCTTTATGCTGATAACAATGTAGTGTACATAGAAAACACCAAAAATTCAACAACACCAGCACCAAAACAAAACAAAAACAACAAAAAAACCTGTTACAGCTAGTAGGTCAATTTAATAGAGTGGCAGCATAGAAGGTTAATATCCAAAAATCAGAGAGATTCCTCTACAGTAACAAAGGGAACTCAGAGAAGGAATTTAATGAAGCAATATAATTTACAAGAGCCAACCACAAACTGATATACTTGGGAATGAACTCAACTAGAGACACAAAAGACCTATACAATGAAAACTACAGAATATTTCTGTACGACACAATAAAATAACTAAAGAAATGGGAAGATGTGCCCTGTTTATGGATAGGAAAACTCAATATTGCGAAAATGACAATCCTACCAGAGGTAATATACATATTCAGTGCAATCCCAATACAGATAACAAATTCATTTTTCAAGGAGATCGAAAAAGGAATTACCATGCTTATTTGGAGAGGCAAGAGACCTCAAATAAGCAAAGCACTTTTGAGAAACAAAAATGAAGTCAGATTTATTGCACTCCCTGACTTCAAAATCTACTACACAGCTATAGTAACCAGAGCAGCATGGTACTGGTACAATGACAGGCACTAGCTCAGTGGAACAGAACTGAGAAGCCAGAAATAGACCCAGTTATCTATGGTCAACTGATATTCAGCAAGGAAATAACACCTATCAAATGGGGAAATGACAACTTCTTCAACAAATGGTGCTAGCAAAACTGGACTGCTACTTGCAGAAAGCTGAAACAGGATCCATATCTCACACCATATACAAAAATCACTTCAAAGTGGACTGAGACTTGGAAGTAAAGCTCAAAACTATATAAATATCCTAAAAGACAAACTGAAATCCAGCTTAGAAGCCCTACAGTATAAAGAGACTACCAAATACAACCAGAAATATACAATCTGAACAGGATAACACTGATGAATGGGGCCTTCTAAAGATTAAATCCCTGTGGTCATCAAAAACTTTTTCCAAAAGTGTAAAAAGAAAACTGACTGGAAACAAATATTTGACAATATCATCTCAGAAAAAAGTCTCATAATGAAAGTTTATAAAATATTCCTGGGCCTCCACAAGAAAAAGACTGATAACCCAATTACAAAATGGGAAAAGACAATAAATGACTTTTCACCGTGGAAGCTATTCAAATGACAAACAGACATATGAAGAAATGCTCCAAATCACTGGCAATAACAGAGATGCAAAACAAAAGCACAATGAGAACTATCTCACTCCAGTAGCAGTGGCAAAGTTTAATAGGACAGCAAGTAATAAATGTTGGAGAGGGTGAGTGGTGAGATAGGAATTCTTTTACATTGTTGGTGGGATTGAACAATGGTACAATCACTCTGGAAAGCAATTTGGTGCTTACTCAAAAGCTGAACACAGAAATTCGTATAAGCCAGCTATTCCATTACTTGGAATATTCCCCAGGGAAATGGGAACTGAGGCTCAAACGGAAACTTGTACACCAATATTCATGGTAGCATTATTAACCATCGCAAGAACATGGAAACAGCTCAGATGTCCAACCACAAATGAATGGGTTGAGAAGCAGTGGTAAATTCATACAATGGAATAATATGCAGCACACAAGAGCAATGATTTTGTAAATTACTACCTAACTTGGGAGGGATTGGAGAGCATTATGCTGAATGAACTAACTTTATCCCATAAGGAAAAATACTGTATAAAACCATTATTATAGAATGAATGAGAATCCAAGGCAAGGTGAAGTAGAAGCAGAGGTATGAGAAAGGGGGATGGGAGGTTAATCCTGAGGTTGCACAATTCTATAGTGTGGGTGGGAGGAAGGCAGTGAGAAAGGTCCAGTGTGCAAAACAATGTATGCAAACTTTGTAAATAAACCAGTATTAAAAAATAAAAAAATAGATCATTGGGGGGGTACGTCTTGACCAATTTATTGAAAACCAGTCTTATATCAGTCTTCAAGGACCAGATCTGCTTTAGCATATGCCAGCATCAGCAAAACCATAGAACTCCCTATCTTTTCAAGATTCTTCCAACATCTTCTCAGTTGGATTCCAGGGCACACAACTGCCAGTCTCCATTAGAAAGAGACCTTCATTCCCCCCCACCCCACGTTAACTATAAATATATTTAATGCTCAGTTCTCTGATTTCATACACTTCTATACTCATGTCTAAGGTGATATTATAATGGAGATTTTATATATATACACACACACAAACACACGCACACACATACAGATATATGCTATCAACTCAGAACCAACACTCCATTAGGTTTTCAGAGACAGTTAAACACACAGGGTGAGATTGCCCATCCTTCCCTCAGGAAGGACCTGGTGAATTCGCACCGCCTAGTTTCTTAGCAGTAGGCTACCATTATCTTTAACTTAAATAAAATAATATTTTACAGTATCTCATTTCTTCAACTTATTCAAGAAGAAAAAATAAAAATCAAAATCCAGCACTCAAAAAGCAAAACTGTTTTATGTATTTATGTTACACTTGTATCAGAGATACAAATATTTCCTTAAGTTCACAGTTTTCTAAATAAACTGACTAAGGCGATCATTCTAACCCATTTTCTGCAAATTTCTTTGTATTTCCTGTGCACAGCACTAGTTATTATCAATTTCCTATGTTAACTTCTGCTTTCTTTCACAAATAGTAGACTATATTCACATAAAGCAGTATAAATTATGTAAATACCTAAGTTATTCCTAATGGATCTTCTGTTCAACTGTATACCTTTCAAGTATATAATTTAAATTTTAATAATTGAAGATAAAGTAAAACTGAGATTATATCAGTCAAATTGATCTATACATTACCATTAAATTTACAATTTAAAGTATAAGATTTTCCAGGTATAAATATCAGGTTTCTAGATCATTGATAAATAAACGGTTGATCTGATTAAAACTCACAAGATGAGTAATTATCCAGTTTCTAAAAATTACATGTTGTGTAGTAGTTGATATTTTAAAGTGGAAAAAGTAACTGAAACTTTCTATTTTCAAATTTTTCTAATTCAATTCAGATCCTCTGTACTCTTTCATGGTGAAAAAGCACTACTAATTTATAGAATATTTTCAGTTGAGAACTTTTAAAAATGTTTCATATAATCATTAATTTAGGATAGTTGAAAAAAAATCAAATCTTTTTTACTAACCCAAAATTCAGAGCCTCGCTTTCCTGATTAACTCTAATGTTCTTTGGTATCTAGTGAATCAAAACACAGAAGGAAAAGAAACGGGAAAAACCGTATATTAAAGCATGAAAACCTTACCATTTACTTGGAAGATATGAGTTTGATAGATGTGATCATAGCCCTCTGCATAGCAGGTATAATTGCCCATGTGAGTTGTGGTAACTTTAGTTATATACAAAGACCCATCGTCTCCAAAGTCCTAAAAAAAAATAAAAGTAAACTTTTTACACTTAAAATGTATTGTAAATATAAAGATATCCTAAAGAGCAAAGTAAATACACTAAAATATTGTTTTAAGATTATCAAAATGATTAAG